CAGCTATAAAACTGATCACTCATACCCTCTGCCTCACATTTGCATGGCCTGAAAGAAAGAGAAGAGTCTTGAGTCAATTTGTTTTCCAAAGGCTGGCAGTATAGTAAACTCAAGTTTACTCTTATTTCATGAATAATATTGCAAGTTAAAAGAAACTTAGAACAATATTCATTCAACATGGAGGCAGAACCAGATGCTAACTGCCTTACCTTGCAGGGCAGACGATAGGTCTCCAGGAGCCTCCTGCAATTAGCGAAGATGGACAGTTTAAACACATACAGTATCCAGCAAAGTATTGAAACAGTGTAACACCCTATGAAACTTAAAGAATCTAAAAATCTAAACGGGAGCTTTGCATAAACCTAGACACATTAGCAGCGTAGTAATTCAAGATAATCACCGTGAGTAAAGAGCTGGAGGGGGGAGGGGGTACATTTTTAAGTATGTGAAAATAAAGAGTAACCCTATACCACACCCAGAGTGCTTAAACATTTTAAAGTCACAAAACTTACCTATTAAAATGCCTTCCAAAACAATGGCTACGGATTCAAGTCTCGAATTAGACTTTAGATATTCAAGTAAGTTAAAGTTAAGTTCAGTAGATGATCATTTGTATATTACCTGAAGCACTTTGGATAACTTGCCACCAATGTAGCTAGTTGGGGTGCAAGAAGAGAAAAAAAACCAGAACAGACTCCCTTTAAAAAACGTGAAGGTACATTAATTTGTAAGCAACAAAGTCTATGTAGTTTGAGCATTTAGGGCAGCCACTTTACTCCAAAAATCACGAGTAATGTTCCTCACTTTTGGAGGACTGTCAGACATATGCAATGCTGGGTTCTGTTTGGCATACTAGCTTCAACTATACCTGCCCCGGAGAACTTTAATTAAAGTTTAAAAGTAACAAAAAAGTTCAAATGCATATGATACATAATTGGAAGCAACAAGGCTCCAACAGCTTGATGAGTTTACTCCTGCAGATTGATTCCAAGTTGGAAGACACTGGGAACTAGGATGACTTAATTTACATTAGTGCTGTCACTTGAAAAAATTGCTATGGCATGCATTTGCTGGCAGATATCCCAGGCCAGTATGAACAAGACTATTCATATCTGAAATCTGTGGTTTTTCAAATTTCTTACATCTTTATGGCTTTCACTAAAGCCACATAACTTTAGGAGGCATTTATTTTAAGAACTAGTGTCAAACAAGTTCAACAGCCAAAATTGCACTAGTGTTCATACTAGTCAAGTTGCTAAGCTTCATGAATTGAGCTTTTTAGAACCATTCACAATTACTTAATTTTGTATTGGCCAATATTGAAGAGAATATCAACTAGTGTTTTTCAGTATATTTAAGCTTTCTGATGGATGAGCGCTGAACCGTTCCTTGGCATAGCCATTAACCTTTGTAGTCTATTTAACCATGCTCTTTTTTTCCCCCTTAATAGATTATGTATTGCAAATGAGAGGAATGGGGGGGGCAATCTGTTTAAGCCTTCCATATAGCCTACAAACATTTGGGAGTTTGCTCACTCACTACTATAGATACTAGTTAGAAAAATCTGAAATTAGCAAATGGAAGGCATTTGGGAACACAGGAGTTGCATTAAAAAACAAGTCATGCTTCGGCAAGTTAAACATCTACTACTACACATGTCCACTGATTTCTATAACTTTGCAATGTTTGGGAGTAACGAAATGCAAGCTGCAGTTAAAGCTAAAGACTCTGCAAGAAATAAGCATGGGACCAGGAAAAGTGCATAAGATTAAGTTGTCAAGACTATGGTTGGGGCACGGAGAAGAATTTAGGAAGCATGGAGCAAAGAAATATGAACCTTATGAAGTCAGACTAAGTCTCCCAGGGACGAGCAGTGGTTAGCTAGTAACCGTTTCATACCAAGGACATAAGCCAAGTAGGAGAGCACCTGTTGCTCACTTTCAAACGGCAGCAACTGATTGGAATTAAATGGACTTTAGCCATGACAAAATTGCATCCCAGGTGAAAGAGGTGGAATATGCACAAGGGATTAGGAAGCAGTACTTTATAATCAAGGAATGAATGCTCAATCAATCACTGGTTTATTTAATTGCACAAACCAGAAGGGATTCAGTAGAATCAAGAATAGCTTTAGAGGCCTAGAAGAGTTACAGCTTAAAAGCATGTAGGCCTGCAAACACCTGGTGCTGTAGGCTGTGTTTATTTCTCTAAGCACAGAGATGCATTACATGATGCATTCTGGTTAGCAATATGCTGGCATAACAGATCTGCCCAAAACTCCAGGTGGGGGGGAACACGAGGGGGCAGGGAGAATTTTGGATTTCCTAACTGCCAGCAACCTACTACCCACTGGTAGGTTCCTGCCCAAATCTCAAAGGCTGGGTACACTGACAGAGTTGTTTGCACAATTAAATATGGGAATTAAGGCAAATCTGGGTCTTTAACAAAATTAGGAGTTTCAAATGCCTTCATTCTATAGCATTAGGGAAATTTGCCAAGTCCCTGAACTACTAGCAAATTTCAAAGAGCCCTGGAAGACTGAAAAGGAGAAGATGGAGGGGAAGGAAGCTTGGAATCCTAGAAAATTAGGGTTGGAAGGGACCTCAGGTTTAGTCCAATGCCTGCTCAAACCCGCACCAGCCTCAGCCATCCCAGCTTTATCTAGCCGGGTCTTGAAAACCTCCAAGGATGAGGATTCCGCAACCTCTAGGTAACCTGTTCCAGTGTTTTACTACCCTACTAGCGAGAAAGTTTTCCCTAATTATCAAACCTAAACTTCCCTTGCTGCAACTTGAGACCTTTGCTCTTTGTTCTGCCATCTGTCACCACTGAGAACAGTCTAGCTCCATCCTCTTTTGAGCCCACCTTCAGGTAGTTGAAGACTATTATTAAATCCCCTCTGAATCTTATCTTCTCTAGAAGAAATAGGGATGTGTAAAGCAGGCATATTTGATTCAGATTCAGCCCAATTTGGGGGATAGCAATTCAATTCGTTGATTCAGATTACTGTCCAATTCAATTCGGCCAAATCCAAGTCTGAAGATTTGATTACAATTCGGAGAATCAGCGATTTGGCCATAAACAGATTTATGCGTTTTTTCTACATACCTTGAGGTACCAGGCACAGCTCATGAACGCTGAGATGGTGGGGCAGATGGAGCATCCCACAGGAGAGCATGGGAGGGGGGGGTCCCAGTACTTCCAGTGTCACCACTGAGCATGTGGGGGACCCCCCACCCCAGCTTAGCAATTGGCCACAGGGAGACCCCCAGTACCCTCCCTAACCTAGGAGGCACCAGTCACTGAGCTGGGGGGGGGGGGGGGGGGGGGAGAGATATGGGACCCCCTACGTGCTGCACAGCAGACCCAGAAGTGCTTCTGGTTCACTTCTGGGTCCACCAATAAGCATGCTGGGGACCACCCCCTCCACAGTCCCGTGGGATGCTCCATCCACCCCAGCATCTCAGCTTTGAGCTGCCTGGTACCTTGAGGTATACAGAAAAAACATGAAGCTGTGTGCATGTCCGAATCATCGAATCTCTCCAAATTGAATCTGAAGCCTCCGAATAGATTCAGAGAGATTAATGGGTCTCTGATTCGGAGATCTCGCCACTGAATCAGGCCAAATCTCCTCCGAATTGAAATTAGTGACCGAAGCTTCACCCAGCCCTACTAAATAAGCCCAGTTCCCCCCAGCCTCCTCACCATTTTATTGCCCTCTGCTGGACTCTCTTCAAATTTGTCTACATCCTTTCTGTAGCAGGAGGACCAAAACTGGACACAGTACTCCAGATGGCTTCACCAGTGCTGAATAGAGGGGAATACTCACTTCCCTTGACCTACCAATGCAGTATACCATTATACCCAGTATACCATTAGCCTTCTTGGCAACTAGGGCACAGTGCTGGCTCAAATTCAGCTTATTGTCCACTCTAATGCCAAGGTCCTTTTCTGCAGAGCTGCTGCTTGGCCAGTTAGCCCCCAGCCTGTACTAGTGCATGGGCCTATTCCATCTTATGTGCAGGACTTTGCATTTGTCCTTGTTGAATCTCACAAGATTCCTTTTGGCCCAACCCTCCTATTTGTTTAGGACTCTCTGAATCCTAGCCCTACCCTCCAGTATATCTTCTATTCCCCACAGCTTGGCATCATCTGCAAACTTGCTGAGGGGGTGGTACTCTATGCCATCTTCTAGGTCATTGATGAAGACCTTGAACAAAACTAGCCCCAGAACTGACCCCTGGGGCACTCCACTGGTACTGGCTGCCAACTAGACATTGAGCCATTGATTACTTCTCTGAGCCCAATCCTCAAGCCAGTTTTCTATCCACCTTACAGTCCATTCATCCAGCCCATACTGCCTGTGAGAATGGTGTGGGAGACTGTATCAAAAGCCTTGCTTAAAAATCACGTCCAGCTGTCTCCCCCCATCCAGAGCCAATCTCCTCATCATAGAAGGCAATCAAGGTTGGTCAGGCACAACTTGCCCCTGGTGAATCCATGCCAACTGTTCCTAAATCACATTTTTTCCTCCAAGTGCTTAGAAATTGATTCCTTGAGGATCTGTTGCACAATTTTTCCAGGGATTGAGATGAGGCTGACCAGTCTAGTTTCCTGGATCTTTCTTCTTCCCTTTCTTAAAGATGGGCACTATGTTTGCCCTTTTCCAATTATCTTGGACCTCTCCTGGTCACCATGAATTTTCAAAGATGATGGTCAGTGCTTCTGCAATCACATCAGCCAACTCCCTCAGCACCCTCGGGTGCATCCCATCCAGCCCCATGGACTTATACACGTCCAACTTTAAGTAGTCTACAACCTGTTCTTTCACCAAAATTTGCTTAATGAAACCAAATGAGAAATGCCCTTATTGGATCAAAAAACAAATCACAAAACAGCCCCAGGATCTTTATAGAACAGATGCCAGATAACTCATTGTTAAAAACAAAAGCCTAGCAGATTAGGGCAGAAAGGAAGACAGGGTACCTTGGAGACTAGACTCATTCAGAAAGGCATAAGTTTAATTGATGACAGTCTACTTCAGATACTACAAAATTAAGGTTCAAAACAATGTAGTTTGATATGACTGCTATAAACAAGCTGGGAAACAGAAGCAGCAGCAGCAGCTTTACCCAAGATCTGTTGTATTCTGTGTTTTACTTCTACTATGGCTTATGTAATATAGAAGCAGGGAATAGATGCATTTTTCTTGTTATCAATTAGTCTGGAGAATTATGCATCAAGCTGCATTTTAGCTAGGACCCAAACAAAGTATATTGGCACAAAAAAAAAAAAAAAAAGTATAGATAAGGCTGCTGTTATTACCACAGCTATCTTCACCAATTCTTGCTGGAATTCTGCATTAAGAAGGAATTGACAGAACACTGAACTACAGAAAGTAATTTTACAAAAATGCATTTGTAGCACTACATTCTATTGCCTTTTGGTGCCCAACGCTGCAGTTCCTTCAGACACAGGCATTCACAGTCTGAAAGTTAGATAAATAACTGATATGATAATAGTACCTTGTTTCAATTGTCTGGCCAAATTTAGAGGCTCAGTTATGTTTGAGGAAATACTGGCATGATATTTTGGAAGCCAGCAAGAACAAAAAGGCTAAACAACTAGTTTAGAATTTCAGAAGTTTTGAATTGTTTTCAGCTTTTAAAATCAGTTTGATATTCTGTCCAGTCAGTGGCAGTCATGCACACACTTCGATTAAATAATGCAGATCAACAGTTGTACAAAACAATGCTTTGCATATTTTTAGAGGCAGGAGGCATTTCTTAGTTAAAAGATGTAAACTAACATGAATTGTAGTGCAAGGTTTGCATACAACAGGACTAACTCTTGAGAACAGACTGCTTCACTAGAAAACAAACATGACCCAATGGTCTTAAAACAATTCACCCAGAGTTTTGGAAAGTGATGGACTGACAACCACCTTCAAAGTAAGACTACATGCAGTATGCTTCACACTGAGTTAGTAGACCAAGTTTTGAATATTTTTTAAATCAATAAAGACAACTATCAAGATTAATACTAAAATGCATATTAACTTGTTTTATTGAGGCACAACAAGGCATTGTGAATAGCCCATACTTGAGGCAATCATATCAGTAGTGTAGTAAGCTGGACATTAATACAGTTTAGGGTAAGTAAGTGCAAACAATATACATTCACAGCTTTACTAGCAAGGCTACATCACAATTGATAAAGTGCCAAATTAGTGCTGATTCAGTAACCCAACTCCATGATTTCACCTTGCAAAGTAAGACCGCCACTTCCCAATAATGGAACCATGTATCTTCTATGAAGTCAGTATTAAGTGCAAAGCTAGTTTCCACCCCCCGCCCCCTTCCCATTCACCAAGGTGTTTCGAGCAGCTTTTTTTTTTTTTTTTTTTTTGTAAACATAACACTGGATTTTAGTCCTGATAAAGGAGGTATCCCGAGAAGGTAGAATATTTCCAGCTGCTTCCATAAATGGCTCCCCGATGCAGACGTAGCCAGATCTGATCCCCCTGGAAGAGCTGTAGGACTGCATGGTTACTAGCTGTTTCATGGTCTGGGGCCCCATCATTTGCATATGCTGATACTAGGACCTCTTCATTCTTCATAAGGTTCACGTACAGTGGAACATTCACTGCCAACTTCAGCATGTGGAAGATGAATACATAGGTACCATTCACTGGACAATTGAACCTACCAAGCTGAATGTCAAATGTTTCTCCAAGGTTGTTCAGCAGAAGGTCAAACGCAATTGGCTGGTCTAGAGTTCCAGGGGCCAAATTAGATGTTCTAGCTGCAGAAAAGGCAACTCTCATCTGCTGGGGGAGGGGATAGACATGCACTGGTAGTATTGTGGCAGCTTGGCTTGTCACTGGCACATCGACAGGGGTGATGCTGCGGGAGTCTCCCTGCCCAGAGTCCCCACTGTTAAAGGTTTCATTGTCTCGCTCTGGACTGCTCACCTGAGAAGAATCACTCCATCCTGCTGTCAAAGATGATTAGCAATCATAAATTTTTAGAAGTGGGACAGAATGTGATTACAACCTGCACTTCAAAAAAAACCCATCCATGCTAGTTTGCATTTTATATGCAGGTTTATTCAACATGGGTGTATTGCAGTTATTACAGACAAAGACAAATGTGCAAACAGCTTTATTCACTGTCAACACTATCCCATCTTGCTAAAAAGAAGCTGAACAAGCATGAGTGACTTAATTAGTTTCAATCCTTACTATTGCTTACTCCGCACCCTAAAGGATTTGGCAGCAGCTGTCAATACTTAGGTGTAATATTTGCCAACTACTGCATACCACCTCTGAGTTTTTCAGAGTCATCAGTGTTTAAAGACTTGGAGCTGAGCTGATTGATGAGAAACAAGCAAGAGTCAAGCACAAGACAAGCTTTCAGAAAGAGCTATAATGTTAAAGTTACATCAGTACTGCACTTACTCTGAAACACTAGGTCCTGCCTGATAGTACCTCACTCACTAGAGTGACCCAAGTATTGCTGTCATAAGAATTTTACATGTCTAAACCTAAAGGTAAGTAATTTATACAAGTTGTTTTTATAATGATATATAGAAGTTTATAACTAATTATTCACTCAAGTGAAATTCAGGAAGATAGTTTGATAAATCATAGCATTCTGTTGAACTATGGTGGCATAATAGCATCAATATAAAAATCACCTTAAAAAAACAACTTTCAAGGCCAATTTTGTTTTTCTATAAAAGGAACACTAATTGTCTATTTAGCACAGAGAAGCAGGTTATAAAAGTATCAGCTTCTTTAAACAGTAACTGAACAAGTACATGGTCTCAATCCTCAGATAAAGAGTGGCAATTGTTTCATAGTCCTGCATTTTACCTGATAGCAAGTTCCTTTCCCTCAGTTCTCATCTGAAACTTAAGGCACAAGAACCTCAAGTGATTTCATCAACAAATCCTTAGACAGGCTGCTGAATGATAACTAACCACCTTTCATATATACAATTTTACTCTTCACAATAGAAAAACAATTGTATTATGCTTTGAACAGTCATTAAGTCTCACTTCGATTCCCCCTCGCTCAGGAGCAGATGCTAGCTCCCATCCTGAACTGAAGCATGATTATACTTCGATTGCTACAATGCATTCTACACTTTTTTTTTCCCTCCAAAAGATAGATATTTCAGATTCAATAAGGTTGTGTTTTAGAATCCATTTGTTCAGCTTTCGTACTCAAGCCTCGAAATTTAAAAACGTTACAGCATCCGAGTCTTCGGTGCGGAGTTACAGCACATCAATTTCCTACATAAATTTATTTCTGGGATCAATTTTGACAGATTACCCAAAGACTTGGGCTGAAAAAGAAGTGGGACTATGATACAGAACTGGCATCTTGAATAATTCATGTTGATTTACTGGAGAAATTGTTTTGTTCTGAGCAGAACTGGAGATTAGTGGAAAATTAGAGTTCTCACTATTAACTACCTTCCTACGCAGACTCAATATTGCAGCAGTTTAATAACTGAGGAGGACACCCTAGCCTGATATTCCAGACACTCACTCTTCTTTACTTGCAAAAATCAAATTGGTCGCTAGGACATTTATTTTACTGAGTTTTTTTGTTTTTTGGGTTTTTAAAAACAGAGTCACCATTCTAGGTGCAATTATATACTCAGTCTTACTCCACAATTGGGGGGGGGGGGGGGGGGGGGGACAC